TAGAGACAGGGTCTTTCTCTTGCTCAGGCTGGTTTTGAACTCCTGAGCTCAAGAGATCCTCCCGCCTTGGCCTCCCAAAGTGTTAGGATTATGGGCATGAGTTACTGTGCCCAGCTGATTTTGCACCTTTTAGCAGTCAGAACCTAGGGTTAGTGTTTCTGGCATTTTTAATTAAGAGGAGAGACTTAAGGCCCTCAGTTGGCTGTTGATATGTGTCATAACATTTATAGTCTGTAGGAAAAAATTCCTGTTACCTTTTTTATCGAAAAATTAGCAGCTCTGGCATCTTTGCACCCACGTTGCCTCTTTGCAGCAGTCTGCACTCTCTAGTTACCACAGTCCCGCCTCTCTCTGGTTTGCTTGGCTTGGGGCAGTTATACCTGTCTGTTGCACTTTATTTCATGTCACACCATTCTGCTTCCCTCCTTTATGGGACCTGCCTGGCCCCTGTAGGCATTTGTAGTGACAACCTCTGGCCTCAACTAACACTCATAATGGAAACTCATTTGATAATTTTGCTGAATTTTTCTCAGCAAGGAAACATAGCCCCAACTCAGCCAGCCTTGAACCCTGATACACATACCCTCTCTCACTTAAAATATTGAGGTATGTATCATATATGTAGATAGGAGTATGGCAGGTGTTCAGTCTCATCACCAACCAGGCGTATGGCTTAATCATGTTCTGTAACCTGTCAGTGCCCCCTCGTTTGCCAAATAGAGACAACAATTTTATTTTACTTATATAATAAACCTTTACATGCATTTAGAGTACCAAGCATCATTCTAAACCTTTTACATTATCGACTTTTTTTTTTTTATCTTCGTGATAGCTTTGCTAAGTAGGTACTGTTACTATTATTCGCTTTTATAGAGGAGGAAACTATAGCTCAAAGCCTCAGGCCCTCTGGCTTCAGAGTTGGTGCTCTTAACCATGTTACTATGTGTGCTGCCTCCCAGGGCTTTTTGTGCAGATTAAATGAGATAGTGTGGATTAGCTGCATGGCCCAGTGCCTGATACATCCTACAGGCGTAGTTAATGTGGTCTTCGTTAATGAGAATGAGAATAATGTTACTATAGCCATAGAATACATGCGGGAGAGACAGAGGTGGAAGCTGAGGGCCCAGAGAGCATCCTGTGGCAGCACCTCTGCCCCGCTGTGGACTCTGGGTGCGATGTGGGCATAGGGACGAGGGTGGTGCTGCGTAGACTCATCCGTGTGCTTTTGTACACGTGTCTGTATCTGTTTAGCGTCTGTACATCTTTGCATGTGTGAGAGAGAGAATAAGGTGGCAGAGTAACTTCAGGCTGAGGCTCAGTCACACGAGGGTTATTTCCATCGGGGACTTAGGACACTGCCCTCGGGGTAGGTGGGATGGGAGTCATCACACCCCACCCGCTTACGTCACCTGGAGCAGCCTGATCCATCAGATGATTTTCTTTGTGTCTCGTGGTGACAGACAAGGGCTCGAAAAGCACATGCATCTAACCTGAAATTGTGTCTTTCATAAAGGAGTAGAGGATGAAATTTGTTTTCCTTAGGGGACTGTAGGAGGGTTATTGCTGAAATACTTGACTGATGGTGGTTTTATTCTCTATCGTTTTCAACAGGGGAGTATTTGGGAAACAGGGTTATCAATGCCAAGGTAAGAAAACATTATTAAAACTGTGTTTAATCTTGTTCCTATGTTTAAAAAAATGATCAGACCAAGAGAAAACAGGACACATTCCTTTAATACTATAATAAATAACTGTAGGTCAGAGCAGACCCCCACATAGCCACAATTCTTTAATTTTGGTTCCATCTTGGCTATATTTTAGACAGTGCAAAGGGGATGTTTTTATTTCTAAAGCCAGGATACCTGATAAAGTTTTCATTGTTTAAAGTTTTGTCTCTGCAATAGCATGAAGGTACTGAAAGGGAATGCCATTTTGTGAACATACCATTAAATGTTGAAGATAAATTTTTGTTGTTTACAATCCCATTGTCAGCAGGGGTAAAAAGTAGCACAATGCAGTTTTCTGTACCTGCTTAGGGAATAGACGCTATTATCCAAGTATTTTTAAAAATTTTCTGATTTCAAAAAGAAGTGAGAAGTGTTCAAAGTTGAGCTCTTAATGATCTTGTAAGTTATTACATATTAAATTTATCATAATTTTCGTAATTCTAAGATGAATTACTGGTGTTATGGCAGGATTGGAATGAAGTACAATGAAAGGAGTGAAAGGAGACCCCTTACTCAGGTGGTTTACCAACATAGACCACATTCTGGGCCATAAAACACATCTTAACAAATTTAAAAGAATAGAAATTGTAAAAAGTATCTTCTTAGATCACAGTGACATTAAACTAGAAATCAATAACAGAAAGATAGCAGGAAAACCTCCAAATATTTGGAGATTAAAAAACACATTCTAAGTAACACCTGGGTCAAAGAGGAATACTCAAGAGAATATGAAAAACATTTGGAACCAAATGGGAATGAAAATATAATTTATAAAAATATGTAGCATGCAGCAAAAGCAGTGCTCAGATGGAAATTTATAGCATTAAATTTATATATAAGGAAAGAAGAAAAATCCAAAATTAATGGGTAAGTGTCTAGCCAGGCTAACTGAGAAAAAACTCAATGCCTCAAAACATAAGGCCTTTCTGTGTGAAGGAGGGTTTTGAGATCCTCTCATATAAAGAGAGTTCTCTGGGCACTTTCCTTTTGGTTCTCCTGAAAATTCAATCTGATGAAAGCTAGATTTGTTTTTAGGTATAGGGCTATTTGCTGACATGTCACCTGTCTTTATGTACTTAATCCTGAAACCTTCCACATGTCTTGAAAGATCTTAAAATGATGTATGTTTAATACTGCTTCATTGCATGCATTTATCCTTTAATGACTGACAAATTCAACTCTTATCTGTGCTATGTCAGTTATTGAGATGAAAATGAAAAAAAATGTTATTCAGATGAGGAAATATCTTTTGAAAGCCTCTTCTGCTCAAGGCATCATGCAGGCATTCTGAGGGCACTGCAGGAAGGTTTGAAGGGGGCAGGGCTAAGGGTGTGTGAGATCAGAGGAGGGACAGATGGTTTCAACCTAGAAGGGGCTAGGGGCGGGTATTTTCATCGAAGAGACATTTTTTGAATTGCATCTTGTCATAAACTTAAGATTTAGTTAGTTGATAGGCAAAGAGGGTATCCTAGGGATAGGGAAGGGCATCAACAGGATGTAGGGAGGGTGAATACTTGTTCCAGGAAAAGCAACCAATGCAGTTTTTATTGGAACAAGTAGATCCTACAGAAGAAAGGTGACAGATGGCTTGGGGTAGCCTCTGGAGGACCTGAAACCTGCTTGGGAAATTTGAACTCTATTGATTGGCAGTGAGACGCCATTGAAGGTTTTTGATCATGAGGCAGAATTGACCAGAATCATACTATAGGAAGAGTCCTCTGGTTGTGGGTACAGGATGAAATAAGCTCAGGATTTGATGACCCATAGTTTGAGCCTGAGCAAAGGTCTGTGTTAGGATGGTAGCAAAGAAAATAGGGAGGATGGGAGGGCTGGTTGCCATCGTGTGGGCCAGACATCTACGGCCAGTCACAGTGGCACGGTTCAGCCCTTGTTGACTCTGCCGTAATTGGCTGGACTAGGAGCCTCTGATAAATGTGTAATTGCTGGATTTAATTTCCTAGTGTGCACCTGCGTCGTCCATAAACGTTGCCATCATCTAATTGTTACAGCCTGTACTTGCCAAAACAACATTAACAAAGTGGATGCAAAGGTAAGAGGAGAGCAGTTTACTGATTAAGTGTGTGTGTACATTTGGGTACGTGCTTTCCCTCTCTCCCTCCCTCCCCCACCTCTTCCTCCCTCCTCATCACCCCCCCCAACTTCCCTCCCACATTCCTCGAAGCCCATGGTGCACGGTGGTATTATTATAGAATTGAAATTTCTCTCCCTTTTTGTATTATGGTGTGTGTATTTCTGCACTTGCGTAGCATGACCTCTCCTTGTGAGGACCCCGTTAGCAGTCAGGTGGGTATAAGCTATGTGGATCAGTTCTACAAATTCAGGGAGAGCTTTGGTGGAGTCAAAAGAGCCCTGAGCTTGGCATCTGACAGTCTGGATTCGAATGTCAGATCCGGCCTCTGTCAGCTCTCTGCTCTCGGAGCTCAAGCAAGGCCTACATCTCTCTTTGCCTCAGTCTTAAAACAGTTTCAATACTTCCCTCACCATTTTGGTGGGGGTTAAACAAGATAGAAGCGATGTGACAAGTGTGTTGTTAAGTGTGAATTGTGCTTCCTCAGTAAAGAGGCTGTTGGCCTTCTCCAGCCTCTTAAGAAATTTCAGGGAGGATGTTTATCTGCCCGCATGAGCTTGAACTTCATTCTTGTCACTCGCGTTGCGTTCAGCTGCAATAGGCATACGTTTTAGATTCTGGAGGTGGAAAGCAGATGGGATATTGCTGACAATTAGCAGTGGGTTTGCAGATGTATTGGAAAGTCTGACTGTGGAACTCAGTGGTTCTTTACAGTATATATACAGCTCGCTAAAGAGTAATAGAGCTACACATAGAGGTATGACCCACAATTTTTATGAGAAAGAGGCCAGAAAAGTTGCAAGAGGAGTAATAATTGCCCTACTCCTTGTCATATGTAGGTCTGTTGTATTGCTTCAAATCATGACGTAGACTGTAGAGCATATGCCTAGGATAATCATTTGCTGGAAACTGTGTATGAGATTGAAGCAGGATCTTTGCACTCAGATTGTCAGAATACAAATGCCAGGCAAAGGCTGAAAGGGCTGAATAACTAGCCACTGTATTGTCACTTTGGAATGAATTCCTTCTGTGGTTCCATGTCCTCTGAGTGCTTTCTTCCCACCCCCCCCGACCCCGTGACATGATGTGCAGAAGAACCTGTCATGGTAGCAAATGTATATAGTGTATAAAAGAGTCATTTAATCCTGAAGTCAAAGGTTCTAGGAAATAGACATGGGTATGAGGTGATTGGCAAGGAGAGAGATATGGCCTGAATATAAAAGATGAGGTGAAAATCTTAATTTCCTTTATCTCCCAAAATGTTGAATAATCCAATATGCACCCCACGTCTCTGTCTTGTCTTGCCTTTTCCATTAGAGAATGTGCTTCAGCCTGGTCAGTAAGACCTCGGTAATTAATCAGGGCTGAGTACAGTAAAATAATATACCCAGCTCAGGTGTCATAGTGACACTCGGCATTTGGTGGGTTCCTATTACAGTTTTTTACAAAAGATGTTGCTATGAAATTTTAGCTCTTATCCTCTTGCTTGCCTTTTACAGGTTGCCGAACAGAGGTTCGGAATCAACATTCCACACAAGTTCAGCATCCACAACTACAAAGTGCCAACATTCTGTGACCACTGTGGCTCCCTGCTCTGGGGGATAATGCGGCAAGGACTTCAGTGTAAAAGTGAGATGCTGAGGTGCCGGGTACCCACTTCGTCATGGGAACACCGGGCCACACGCTGTTGGAATTCTAGATTCTCAGAATCTGACTAGGACTGATAGTTTTTGATATGTTGTAAATTAGTTTCTTGATAGTATTATATTTTTATGTCAGGCATGTAAAGAGAACTATATCTGGTCTCCAAATTTCTTAACCGTAGAACATTAAGTCAAATGTTAAATTTAGTGATCCATCTAGCTAGCCGGCTACCAAGTATAGGTCAGGCAGTTTGTACTTTAATGCGTTACTTGAAAGAGTGAAAAATGGGATCCTGGTCTGAAATGGAAGATGGTAGGAGGTGAGATGGCCCAATGAGAAGGCTGGATTAAGAGTAAGAACTGGCAGGAGCAAAGTCTGATGATTGAATTGTCATAGCATAAAGAGAACTCCCCTGGGTCTCCTGAAAGAGTGCTCTGATAGAGATTGGAGGCGTGGGTGGAGGCAAGGACACTAAAGCTCTGGCTGTGGGCTTGCATCTCACTAATGGTGCCCAGTGGGACCTGACTTTGGAGCTTTTGCCTTAGCAAAGTCTGAGAGGGTGAGGGCTGATCCCTATCCTGTTAGGAGTTGGGCACTGTTGGCCTTGAGTCACCTCCCATTGAGACGGAATGCTCTGGCTGCTGTGGGGGGTGCCTGAAGCCTTAGCAGACACATCCTGAGTCACCAGTGAGGAGGAGGATGGGGAAGGGAGAGTTGGCGTGAGTGCAACCGGACAACTTCCGTTGACTGCCTGGACTTACCAAGCCTACTTCTGTCAACTAAAAGGGATCAGTCACTTGTCTTTAAGAAGGGCAAATTTTCCTCTCCCTATAGAATACCACTTACTAATTCTTTTTTCATACAACCAAATCGGCAGCCAGCTCATGTATAGACTTTAGGGCTTTGGTTCAGGTGTGCTTGGCCATAGCTTGTCACTGGGTATGGGTTTCCAGCGTGAAAGTCCCTTTCTGCTCTGGTACAGTTGTTGCTGATGTGCCAAGCTGTGCGTGGGGCTCGTCTGTACTGTTCTTATCCCTGGAGGCTGAGTAGTGATCCAGCTCCTGTAACTTTTGCTGTTACTGTCACGTGGTGGTTTTGTTGGTTTGTTTTTTTTTTTATTTTTGAGACAGGGTCTTGCTCTTTCACCCAGGCTAGAGTGCAGTGGTATGATCATAGCTCACTGCAGCCTCCACCTCCTGGGCTCCCAAGTAGCTGGGACTACAAGGCATGCACTACCACGCCTGGCTCATTTTTCTATTTTTTGTAGAGACTGGGTCTCGCTCATGCTCAGGCTGGTCTTGAACTCCTGGCCTCAAGCAGTCCTCCTGCCTTGGCCTCCCAAAGTGCTAGGATTACAGGCGTGAAGCATGCCTGTCCACACGTGGTGGTTTTGAAAGGCCACTGGAGGCTTCCTGAGAGAGGCAGACTCCTGTGAAGCTAATAAAGCTTAAGTCTCAGGGTTTCTGTCTGTCAAGGGCACCTTCCAAAGCTTCCTAATTGATCTGGTATTCTTTTTCTTAAAGAGGGCCTAAATTACATAAGTTCATAAATACAGATCCACAAAACCTGGATCTGTGCGAGCTTCCAAAGATGGACTGACTCCATAAAGCAGGGATTTGTTGCTCACTGTTTCATTTTGACTTCATATCAGCAGGGCCATGTCAAGAAACTGCCCCCAAATTTATTTCTGCTGACGACACCTCAGATCCCTCACTGTCCCGAGTCAGCTCCCTCTGTACCAGGAGCTTAGCTAGCTTTGCTCACCTCTTCCAACTGCCCTTTACTCTGACCTTCAAAAAGCTTTCAAAGTTGCCTTCTGTCCCCCCACCTCCCTTCCATGAAGCAGTTAGAACCACAGGCTGCAAACGCTGAGAACCACAGCCCCACAGGATGCCTGTCTCTGTGCCGGGAGGGCTGCCCAACCACAACAATACTCAGAAAGAAAGCTTCATACGGCGGTTTTTCTCTTAGAAATACCATTTCCATCCTGTTCGAACAGTGATCTATATATGGCATTTAGACTGCTACCTTTTATTTCACTGTTGAAAGATAGAAGGGAAAGAGTACAGTCAGTTGACAAGATTCTTTGTTATTTAATTGCTGGTGAATTGTCACTGTGATGAACGTTTTAATCTTTATATTGGATCATACTAAGTCAGCGGTGGCTGTTACTTGTGATTTAGATGAATGCTTTTCATCAAGTCACGGTGAAAAAAATGTATTTGAAATCTATTATTCTTTAGTACGCCAAGCTTTCTGCTTCTGTACAAAACAGAAACAGATAAAATATCAGGAGTTGTTATTAGTGTGAGTTTAATTTTATGAGAAAATGACATTGTTCAGCCTGTATAATTCCTCTTTCATAATATTCCAGGTTATTAATGTTCTCTGTTGCAGCGTATGTTGGCTCGGATCCTCTCTGAACACGGACTCTGTTGTCCTCTTCCTTCTAGTATGTAAAATGAACGTACACATTCGGTGTCAAGCAAACGTGGCCCCTAACTGTGGGGTGAATGCAGTGGAGCTAGCGAAGACCCTGGCGGGGATGGGTCTCCAACCCGGAAATATTTCTCCAACCTCGGTGAGACTTTGCTTTTCTTCGTATATCATAATTTAGAGGTTGTTCGGATGTGGTGAGCCCAAATGAGAGCATCGTCAAAGTTCCTAATGTCAGCCAATACAATAAACAGATTTATTGTGTTTTTAAGAGCATTGTGTTCCACAAATAAGATTCTATATACAGTTGTATTACAAGAAATAAGCAGGAAGCAGGAGAAGAATATTTTGTCTTTTTTTCTTAATCAGCTTCCTGTCAGTGTGGTCTGGTGAACGCCTGCAACCCAGAGGCCTGGATTATGCTCTTGGCTGGGGACCAGGCAGGACAGTTGACCAGTAACTTTGAGCCTCAGCTCTCTCATTCATAAAGGGGTTCAACTTGGAGATCTCTGAGGTTCTCTGCAGCCTTGGAATCTAACAGTTCTGCAGTTTTTGTTTATGGATTACGAATTTATCTCTTCCATTCAGCAAGGACAGAAGTTCCTTCCTCTGGCCTCTCAGGAGTGGGTGGAGTCGTGGCCATTGCGTGGATATGTTTTTGTCATGCGCCCTCCCCGAATGACCTCTACCTGCTGTTGTCCATCAGGGCCATGGTCACGTCCCAGGCCCATGTCTTATTGTTGACTGACTTCCTGGCCAGGACCTGCAGAGAGCTGGGAATGGGCCTGACTGTGGCTGTGGGATCTGAAAGGTATAGCTTGACGTCTGGGTCAGGAAAATTCTAGACTTTTAACTGTTAAATAATCTCTGGGTACTGAGGAAGGGAAGTGCAATCAGCGTGAGGTTCTTGTTTAATTCAGAAAATGTCAGCACCAGCCACTTCATTTCCTTTTTACTGAAAGGTTTCCTGCTTAGTAGAGCAGGGACTTTTACTGAAATTGTGTTTCTTGATTTCAGGAAGGCACTGGAAAAGTCCATCAAGTCTGTCTTGAGGATGGGCAGGCAGGGTGCTAGTACAGTGAAGGGGATTTCTAATGCATGGGACAGCTGTTCCTGAAGAGCAGAGATTAAGGATTTCAGCCTGAGCCAGGGCCTCTACGATACGGGGGAAGTAGGATGGGCCATGTGGCACAATCTTTAAGAGTGGGCAATGCCACTTGTCATTTGAACCAAGTATCTATAATATTATGACATTTAATAGTAGGAAAGCCAAAATTATCTGCTATTTGGCAGTAAAACATTAAAAAAAGAGACTTTTAAGTCTGTCAAAAGAGAAGAGTAGGTTAAAAGAAGATGAGAACCTGGCTTAGAGTTTTCTAGCCAGTTCCAGGCTAATCAGGGGAAGTATTTAAGTGGAGGAAATGAAATTCAAGTTGGTGCAACTTTTCAATCCTTCAAAGAGTTATGATGAGAGATGTTGAAGAGAAACTGTTAAAACCTTTGGATTTTTAAGATGATCCATTTTATATCTTGCTATTGCTGTTTTATTGGGTTAAGTAAGTAAGATCCTTGTAGTTTCAGGCTGTTGCATGGTTAGTTTATAGCAAACATTGCCTAGAAATTGCCCTAGATAAGCTTTTTTTTTTTTTTCTGGCTAAATAGGTCAAAAGCTCCAGGATGTTAGACTCTTGATCTGTTGTCTAGTGGTAGCTTGTGCTGTAAGTGTCTCAAAGTGGACATCTGCAAAAATCACCTTGCCTTTAGGTGACACACCCAGTGGATGGGATTGGACAGCTGATTGAGGCGGCCACACATACTTCCCATTTGCTGTGGTGAAACTGGAACTCTCACTGTGCTGGTGGGAGTGTAAATTGGTCAGTCTTCATAGAGGGCAAGTTGACTGTGTATCAGAAGTCTTCAAAATTAACACTTTGGCACAAGGAGTTCCATTTGCAGGAAGTTATCTTAAGGAAATAGATGATGATAATGACAACACAAATTAAGTGTATTGAATGTGCCAGGCACCAATCTAAGTGTTTGATGTGCATTTGTTCATTTACTCATCCTAGTAGCTCATGTGGCAGATCCTATAAACCTCTCTGTTGTCAGAAGAGGAAACTGAGGCAGGGAGAGGCTGGGTAGGTAAATTGCTCAAAGTCACAGGCTAGGTCGCGGAGCTGTTATTTGAATCCAGACAGCTTGCGTCAGAGCCTGAACTCTTCTTTTTTCTTTTCTTTCAAGATAGGGTTTCGCTCTGTCACCTGGGTTAGAGTACAGTGGCATGGTCATAGCTCACTGCAACCTCAAGGTCTTGGGCTCAAGTAATCCTCCTGCCTTGGCCTCCTGAGTAGCTGGGACTACAGGCTCAGGCCATGATGCCCAGCTAATTTTTTAAATTTTTTGCAGAGATGGAATCTCACTATGTTGCTCAGGCTGGCCTCAAACTCCTGGCCTCAAGTGATCCTCCTGCCTTGGCCTCCTAAAGTGCTAGGATTACAGCCATGAGCTACGGTGCCCAGCCCAGAGCTTGAACTCTTAATCATCCTGTTTTGAAGATTTGTGTGCAAATATGTTCACTATGGGGTTATTTATTATAGTGAAAAATGGAAGATGATCTATATTTCTAATAGTAAGGGAATAAATAAATTGTGATATAACTATAAAATGGAATATTGAACAGCCGTTAAAACTCATGTTCTTGAAAGATGTTTAAAGACAAATTTTTAAATAAAAATGTATATTATGAAATAACAATTTGATTACATTTATAAAAATTAACCAAGTATAAAAACATGTGTATGTGTGTTATTTAACACCTTAACTGCCATATGAGTTGTATTTAATTCACGCTAGTGTTGAGCCCGGGGCCTCGCGAAGCATGTGTAACTCACACGTCTCTTCACCTTTACCCTTATGAGCTATTTTTCAAGTTGCATAGAACTCACAGAAAACAATAAAAAATAAATTTTTTATTAAATTAGAAAGGATCGTTTTGTTTTTGAAGTTTTTATTCTATTTATAAAACACTGTGGCCTCTAGGGAAAACAATTTTTTTTTCCTAGTGTGGCAGTCAATGTGTTATATATATTTTAAGGAGGGATGGATGATATTTTAGTTATTTTAAATATTGTCCTTTATACTTTTGGTCATTGCTTCAATTTTTACATTGAATTTTTATTTCTTTTATTTAATTTAAAATATTGTATAAAAAATGTTGCTTCATTCATTCCTGTCCTGGTGCTGAATGCTACTTGATCCTTGAGCAAAGGTGAAAACCGCTTTGTAAGAAGTGAACACCAGGTGGCGCTCTTGGCCTCTCACTGCCCTGAGGAGAGTCACCAGCGGTGCCGAAGGAAGGCATTTGTGTTTCTGCACACTTCTATTTGAGTGCAAACTAACTCCGTGGCCTTAGATGTCTTCTTAAATGATTTTTGTCCACTGGCAGTGAGCACAGACCAGAAGCCGATACTGAGGTCGTGTTGAGTTGCAGAGCCTGGTCATCTGTCAAGCCGAACTGATCTTTCCCACGTGTTATATTGAGTCGAGACTGTCCCCAGCCAGGAAAGGCTGTCTTCATCCACAGCTGCTTCGTGCTCACGCTGTGATTTCTGACAAAATGCATTGCTGTTCTTCTCTGCAGAAACTCGTTTCCAGATCAACCCTAAGGCGACAGGGAAAGGAGAGCTGCAAAGAGGGAAACGGGATCGGGGTGAATTCTTCCAACCGACTTGGTATTGACAGCTTTGAGTTCATCCGAGTGCTGGGGAAGGGCAGTTTTGGGAAGGTGAGCCAGGCTTTATTTAACTGCTGGGGCGGGAGTGAGCGTGTTACGTGTGTGCCGTGTGTGTATGTACACTCACATGTCTCACGTGCTGGTCTCTCCTCCCGTGCGCCCGCGCCTTGAGCACCCGAGAGAATGCCCTCACGCTCCCTCCTTTTGCCCCGCCGCAGGTGATGCTCGCAAGAATCAAAGAAACAGGAGACCTCTATGCCGTGAAGATTCTCAAGAAGGACGTGATCCTGCAGGATGACGATGTGGAGTGTACGATGACGGAGAAACGGATCCTGTCTCTGGCCCGCAACCACCCCTTCCTCACTCAGCTGTTCTGCTGCTTTCAGACCCCCGTAAGTGTGACTTGTACTCGCTACCTCAGTGACCTCTTTCTTAGAGTTGAGACCCTAAGATGTTGAATACTTCATAAAGTCAAATAGCAGAGACTTTTGGGATGGCCTCTAAGGTAGGTCTATATAAAGGTACTGGCAACTTCTCACCATCTCTGGGGAAAAATAGAAGCTGATGAATTCACGCCTTCCTTTGTGCTGTCCTGGGGAAAGATCACCTTGAGGGTTGTGTGTCCTAGGATTGAAAAGGTCTTCACACTTGAATCTTCGTTCTGTTAATTATCACCCCATTTTACAGATGAGAAAACTGAGGCACAAAGAAGTTTAGCTCCTGAGTGGCAGAGCAGGTTTTGAAGGCAGGCAGTGTGACTGCAGAGTCCAAGCAGGCTATTAACCACTGGCTGTGCCACTTTTGCTCCATTCACACTCCCAAAGCTCGAGTGAGAAGGCCTGTTTCCTCCACCCTCTTTCTTATCATGGCATGCTATCTATCATTTTGATAATCTGAAAGATTTAAAAATGCTATCTTTGAAGTTCGAATGTGCATTTCTCCGACGGTGAGAGAAGCCAAGCATTCTCGTATTTGTGTTCAGAGCCGTGTTGGGAAGCACACGTGTGCGGCCTGGGGAGTGGATGGAACAGGGAAGACTGGAGGCCGGGAGACAGGAGGATGTGTTGAAGAGGTGCACAGTGCAGACTCCCACGCTGCCCTCACATATCGGAAGGAACTGGGGAGGCGGCCACTGACTCCTGAGGCCTCTCCCCCTGCACTCCTCCTGCCTTCCCCCCATGGTCTGGGCTCCTGTGGCTACCCCTCCTCTTATCCATCCTCAGTGGCTCCTGACAGCCTTGGAGCCCTGCCGCCTTGCCCTGATTCTCTGCTTTCCATCTGCAGGGCCGTGGTTCCTCTGGAGCTCTGGTTCTTCCTATCCTGCACTGCTGCTTGCCGGAGCCTTGGAACTATTTCCTGCCCTTTCCCCTGCACTTTGCCAGCAGAAAGCCCTTCGCCTGCCCTCACCCCCTCACCCAGCTGTTTTCTTGCAGAGGAGTGGGGTTACAGCTCAGGGCTTGAGAGGGACAACTGGTAGAAAATACTGGTTGCCCACCTGGGTTTCAAGCTCCAGCCTCCTAAATATTAATACCACCATGAACACCATGAGTCAAGCAGCAGAACCAGGTTACCACTCAGATCGCCTTCCTCAGCCTGAGCCAAAGATCAGATGGTTTCCTATGACATTAGGTTAGATAATCCTAACCAGCTGGTAACCTTTGAGTCAAGCAGTCAACTGGTATTATATTTAGTGAGGCCAGTCTGGGCGTTCAGTGGCCGTCATTCCAAGTTACTACTGATGAAGCAAATAAAGAACTATCTTGTACCAACTCCAAGGGAATTTCACCTACAAAAGGAAATCCCTGTGATTCTACATAAGCAGTCAAAGGTCTCATCAGCAATTAGGTTGTGTTATGGTAGAGTAAGACAAGAAATTAACTTGAAACAGATTTGGAGCCAAATTAATGCAGCTATAATAGTATCATTTTCCAGAAAAATATATAAACTGGACAGTACACAGAAATTTTGGTGGCCACATGAGATTCCTAGTATTTGGCAGCTGAAGTCTTCATTAGCATTGGTGAAATCTAATTTTTTTCGGTGAAAGTTTTATGTTTGGCCACGAGGTGGCAGTCGTTACTGCAAAGTTATTATTATTTCTCTACCAGAAAAATAAAACACATGGAAATCCCATTAGGGTTTAAAATGTGTGTATTGTGGTAGATACCTCCAAAGCATCCAAAGCAAAGGATAAAGGGAATTTTCTCCTGCTTTGAGTCTCAGTGATAAATGAAGTGATGGGAACCAACTTAAAAGAATCAAGTGAGTTTTTCTCGTGCTGAGATAGAGGCATACACGTTTCGTTTTGCTGTAGCCTTGTTTCAAGTTTGTAGGGTATAGCATTGCTCGCTGTGCATTCATTCCTCTGTCAGAAATCCTCAGTGACTCTCCCCATGTACCGTTGTAAAATTAGTTGCTATGAGAAATACAGCAGATGTTACTACCTTTTAGCTACCCAGTTTGCAGGCCACGACCGCTCAAATGAGATACTGAGGAGTGTGTAGGGCTGAGCTGTAACAGTCTCCCCTAAAGAATTTAGGAGTGAGCCGAGGCGAGGTGTTGGAGTCACTCCCCTGCTATCTGCAAAGTATGATTTCAGTGTGAAGGCCCTTGTAGAAATGGGACTCTCCTCACGTCCAGCCCCCTGGAATCAGTCTCTCTGAAGACCAGAGCAGAGGAGTAGCTCGCTGAGGACCCTGAGACTGTAAGTGGCGCAGACAAGGTTCAAGTTTAGGTCGGACTGACTCTGGCCCATCATTCCATATGTTGTCAGACTCCACATTTAGGTGGTTGATTCAGCATCATCTTAGGCGCCTCTCTTTGTCCTGGCACCCCTCCAACCTGCTGACAGGGACACAACATTGCCCTCGGGAACGAATGCCCTGAGTTTGGTTTTGGCTTTGTTTTCCTCCGTCTAAATGATTTGAGGCAGTCCTAAAAATCCCTTTGAGCCTTAAAATTCTCGTCATTAAAATGAAAGCAGGATCTCTGTGAGGGTCAAATAAGACAATGCAGAATACTTTACACACTGAGCAGCACTGCTCAAAAGTGAGTAAATTCACTGTGGTGAGAAGCCCCTCCTTCCCCACACCAAAGAAAAATGTCCTGGGGCTCCCAGTGGCCATCATAGACCCCCACATGGGAGGGATAGTAAATACTCAAAAGGTAGGAATTTCGGAGCTCCTTTTGTTCTTGGCAAACAGAAAACAATAAGCAAATTTCAAATATTAGTTAATTAATCAAGTTTGCTATGTAGATTTATAAACTCTGTAAGTTATTCCCCCTAATTTTTTTCATAAAAATTGCTCACCAGTACATAGTTAAATGGCATCCTCGTACATTTCTGATAGCATTGCAAATGCTAATAGTTTGTGAATAATTTGATAATCTGTATCAAAATTCATAAAAATGTTTATGCTCTTGGGTCTGTTGATTCTATTTCTTATAATCTAGCCTATGAAAATAATATAAAGAATAACATATTCTGTTGAGGGACTATAAGTGAAAAAAAAAGAATAACATAAATGTTAAGCATAAAGATGTTTAATTTTTAGTGCATTATTTATTTATTTTTACGTATTTTTTAACCAACATCTCTTTAATCTTCTCCCCCTTCTCCTCCAGCCTCTGGTAACCACCATTCTACTCTCTGCTTTTATGAGTTCAACTTTTTTAGATTCCATGTATAAGTGAGATCATGCAGTACTTGTCTTTCTATGCCTGGCTTATTTCACATAATATAATGTCCTCCAGGTTCATCCATGTTGCAAGTGACAGGATTTCCTTTTTCGTTTTTAAGGCTGAATAGTATTCTATTGTGTATGTGTTTCACAGTTTCTTTGTCCATTCATCCATTGGTGAACACTTACGTTGATTCTATGTCTTGGCTATTGTGAATAATGATGCAGTGATCATGAGAGTGCAGATATCTCTTCAATGTACTGATTTCATTTTTGTTGGATATATGTATACCCAGTAGTGGAATTGCTGAACCATATGGTAATTCTATTATTAATTTTTTGAGGAGCCTCTGTACTGTTTTCCAAAATAACTGTACTAATTTACATTCCCGTGAATGGTGTACAAGAGTTCTCTTTTCCTACAACCTCATCAACACTCGTTAGCTTTCATCTTTTTGGTAATAGTCATTCTGACAGGTGTAAGGTGAAATCTCATTGTGGTTTTAATTTGCATTTCTCTGATGATTAGCGGTGTTGAGTGTTTTTTTTCCTATATCTGTTGGCTGTATGTCTTTTTTTGAGAAACGTATGTTCATGTCCTTTGCCCATTTTTAAGTTGGGTTATTTGTTTTCTTACTGTTGAGTTGTTTGAGTTTCTTATATATTTTGGATATTAAAACCTTAACCAGATGTATGGTTTGCAAATATTTTTTCCCATTCCATAGGTTTTTCTTTTCACTCTGTTGATATTTTCCTTTGCTGTGCAGAAGCTTTTTAGTTTGATATAATTTCATTTATCTATTTTTGCTTTTGTTGCCTGTGCTTTGGAGGTCATATCAAAAAAAGATAGTTAGAATAAACAATATCTGGTAGCACAACAGGGAGACTATATCAATAAGTTATAGCATAAAAAAAAAAATCGTTGCTCAGACCAGTGTCATAGAGCTTTTCCCCTAAGGTTTTTTCTAGTAGTTTTACAGTTTCAGGTCTTAACCTTTAAGTCTTTCATCCATTTTGAGGTGATTTGTGTATCTGGTGTGAGATGAGGGTCTAATTTCATTCTTCTGCATGTGGTTATCTACTTTTCTCAACACTATTTTACTGAAGAGACCGTCCTTTCTCCATTATGTGCGCTTGGCATCTTTGTCAAAAATCAGTTGATTATAAATGTGTAGATTTATTTCTGAGCTCTGTATTCTATTCCATTGGTCTATCTGTGTGTCTTCATGCCAGAACCGTACTGTTTTAATTACTATCACTTTGTAGTACATTTTGAAATCAGGAATAGTGATGCCACCAGTTTTGTTATTTTTGGTGAAGACTGCTTTGGCATTTGCACTATTTATAATAGGAATATATTAGAAACAACTTCAGCATTCAGCAATAGACGTATATTTAAATAATATACTATTCAATGAGGATTTTCAGCCAGTAAAGAGATAATTGTATATTAAACAGATTATGTCAGACACAGTTATGAACACCTAATATGTATTTTTTTATTGCATACAATTCTTGTAACAGCCTTATAAGATAGGTACAATTATTATCTTCATTTTGTCAAGTGGTGAAGTGAAACTCTGAAGAGTTAAGTCATTTTCCCAAAATCTAACACAGAAAATGATCGAACTGGAAATTAGAGCTTGAGAAATAATACAGATTTTTTGATGATAGCAGTATATATCCATATCAGGTTCTGCCCAAGACAGCGA